GTATTTTTCTTTTCCTGCTTGCCTTCCCTATGAGTGGTCTCACTGAGCAAAATTTGGCCCTTTTTGTATTCGTTCCTTTTATTATTCAGAAATCGATACTTAATTGTATACAGGCCCTCTCAGAGGTCCAGAGAGGCTGGTCCACTTCTAGATTTTGAAGCCCCTAGCCATAATAAACATTAAAAATGTTAAAACAAAATAAGGGACCAAAAAAGAGTGAGACATAATTTGAATATTTTTTTATTTAACAAATGCTTTACGAGCCTTTTTCTGTGCAAATGCACTAGTTATTGAGGAAAAAATCTAGCTTTCGTGCTATGTCACTGTTGATATTAAACATGGCGAGCCCATTCAAACGCTCTTGACCCATAGTTGAACGGTGATAGTTCTTTACCTGCTTCAACACACTGAAGGTGTGTTCACCTGAAGCCACTGATGTAGGCAAACTGACAAAAAATTTGTGGATCAAAGCGTAGCCTTATACTGGGACTTAGGTGCCAAAGTCTGGAGGGTACGTACCTAAATATTTTTGTGGCTTTGGCCCACAAGATGGATATCAGCAACGACATCTTCCCTCAAACATTTATTTAATGTGGCAATATTTTCCAAAAGAATACAGAAGCAAGTAGAATAAATGTATATAAGAAAAGCTGAACTGTATCTAAAGCTATTTATGTCATCTAATAATATATCATCAGCTGATTAATAATTTAGAAAAAGGATCTTCCTTTGTAGTTATTTGATCCCTATTAATCCTCTCAACTTCAGGGTGGTCCTTCTTATAGGAACTTTCTCCCAGCATGCCTTTTTGGGGATTGGTCCTTTAAAGCTGGCAGACACAAGCAGCTGCATCCCTAAAGTGGCTATTTTGCAACTAGCTTCTCCTTACTGCATTTCCCCTTTCTTTCAACTGGTATTTTTAACTCTAATTATGTTTTCCTTTTTGTATTTCTGAGGAGATATCACATTCTCATAGCACTGAAAATCTATCAAGGTTGGTGAACCATTGATTCTCTCCATCCACCCTGTTCTAGGATGACCAGATGTCCTGATTTTACAGGGACAGTCCTGATTTTGGGGGCTTTTTCTTATATAGGCACCTATTACCCCCCACCCCCATCCTGATTTTTTACATTTCCTATCTGGTCACCCTAACCCTGTCCTACACAGAGTGTCCCTAATCTCAGTTCAAATGTTGAAAATATGGATATTTATGATCATAAGTATATTGGAGTAGAGTAATAGAAATGAAGAGAGCACAGTTAACAGTTATGGCAGCCCTACTGAAACATGCACATACTTAATAGCCGTCTTAAGTCAATCTGTCCCCAGAGCTCTCATATTTAAAGCAGGAATTACTGCCTGTTTTTTAAGTTGCTATGTTGGGATCATATTTTAGAAGCAATCTAGCCAAATATCCTCTCCACAATTTACAAAAGTGAGAAACATACAACAGCAGGCTTGGTTGTTCTAAAAATGAACCTAGATGTCTCTTGTTCGCAGGAGTTGGCAACTCTGTCATTACCTCCAAGAAATCAGGCAACAATTTGAACAGGCAGCCTTCATCTTACTTATGTTGATATGCTGACCATTCAAACTATTTATAGCAGATTTTGAATCAAGGAAAGCAGTAATGGGTAGTCAATGGAATACTGTCACATCTTCAAAAAGGGAGTAACCACACAGAGTGTACGCATAATTGCTTAAAACATTCTTTGTCACAAGACATTAAGCTTCTTTTTAAAATGTTTTTAGTACTTAAGATTTAGATGCTCTGTTTATTTAAATACTTTGGGATTATTTTTGCTACTTTGAAAGATGCCTTAAATCAGTGATGGTTTAACTTTTTTCGGTTGATCTGAAGGAAAGACTAAAAATGTTGCTCTCAATGCTACTTAACGTTCAGATTCGCAGCTGGTGTAAATCAACATAGCAAAATTCAAAATAGTAAAGCTATGCTGATATATGACAAATGAGGATCTGGCTCAAAGTGTAGTTCCACTCTGAAAACTGACTGTAAAAATAGCATTGTAGGGCTCTATGTTTAGTGTTCTCAATCATTTTTATATCAGGTGTGTTCTGTATACAAGTAAAAAACTATTTTTACAGCTGCCAGCCCTTTTAAAAATCAGACTGCGCTTTGAGTCAAGCAGGGTTCTTTCCTTTTAATGCATCATCACCTGTAATAAAGGTTCTGCAGACCAAAATATGTCCTAATTACACCTGTGTATTCTCTTTGTTTAAAAATTATGGCTTCAATGACAGATGTGCAACTCCATTGCCATCAACAGAGTTGCGTAAGTAACCAAATAGGTTTATAATTGGAAGTTGATAAACAAGTCTACACCAGAAATATAATACTCACTCTCTTTTAGGGTATGTCTACACTACGAAATTAGGTCAAATTTATAGAAGTCGGTTTTGTAGAAAGCGTTTTTATACAGTCCATTGTGTGTGTCCCCACACAAATGCTCTAAGTGCACGTAGTAGGCGGAGTGTGTCCATACTACCGAGGCAACCATCTACTTCCGGAGCACTGCATTGTGGGTAGCTATCCCACTGTTCCCGCAGTCTCTGCTGCCCATTTGAATTCTGGGTAGAAATCCCAGTGCCTGATGGGGCTAAAACATTGTCGCTGGTGGTTCTGGGTACATATTGTCAGGTCCCCCTTCCCTCCCTCCCTCCCTCCATGAAAGCAAGGGCAGACAATCGTTTTTTTCTTGAGTTACCTGTGCAGACGCCATACCACGGCAAGCATGGAGCCCGCTCAGCTAACCATCACCGTATATCTCCTGGGTGCTGGCAGATGTGATACTGAATTGTTACACAGCAGCAGTTTATTGCCTTTTGGCAGCAGACAGTGCAGTATGACTAGTAGCTGTTGTCGACGTAGTCTAGGGTGCTTTTTTTAACTGACCTCGATGAGGTCAGGGGCGCCTAGGCAAACATGGGAGTGACTCAGCCAGGTCATTTCCCTTTTAAGTTTCGTTTCATGGCGATTCAGTCCTACCGGCAGTGTACTGTCTTTTAATCTGCAGCCAGCAGAAGACGATGGCCAGCAGTTGTACTGTACTGTCTTCTGCCGAGCACCCAGGAGATGATGATGGCTAGCGGTCGTACTGCACAGTCTGCTGCCAGCAAGATGTATAAAGAGAGATGAAGTGGATCAAAACATGAAATAGACCAGATTTGTTTTGTATTCATTTTCTCCTCCCTCCCTCCGTGAAATCAACGGCCTGCTAAACCCAGTTTTGAGTTCTATCCTTGAGGGAGCCATTCTGTTTCTTGCAAAGCCACCCCCTTTGTTGATTTTAATTCCCTGTATGCCAACCCTGTAAGCCATGTCATCAGTCGCCCCTCCCTCCGTCAGAGCAATGGCAGACAATTGTTCCGTGCCTTTTTTCTGTGCAGATGCCATACCACAGCAAGCATGGAACCCGCTCAGATCACTTTGGCAATTAGGAGCACATTAAACACCACGCACATTATCCAGCAGTACATGCAGCACCAGAACCTGGCAAAGCAAAATCGGGCAAGTATGCGACATCAGCGCAGTGACAAGAGTGATGAGGACATGGACACAGACTTCTCTCAAAGCACGGACCCTGGTAATGTGCGCATCATGGTGCTAATGGGGCAAGTTCATGGCGTGGAATACCGATTCTGGGACCGGGAAACCAGCACAGACTGGTGGGACCGCACAGTGTTGCGGGTCTGGGACGATTCCCAGTGGCTGCAAAACTTTCGCATGCCTAAGGGCACTTTCATGGAACTTTGTGACTTGCTTTCCCCTGCCCTGAGGAGCAAGAATACCAAGATGAGAGCAGCCCTCACAGTTGAGAAGCGAGTGGCAATAGCCCTGTGGAAGCTTGCAACGCCAGACATCTACCGGTCAGTCGGGAATCAATTTGGAGTGGGCAAATCTACTGTGGGGGCTGCTGTGATGCAAGTAGCCCACGCAATCAAAGATCTGCTGATATCAAGGGTAGTGACCCTGGGAAATGTGCAGGTCATAGTGGACGGCTTTGCTGCAATGGGATTCCCTAACTGTGGTGGGACCATAGACGGAACCCATTTCCCTATCTTGGCACCAGAGCACCAAGCCGGTGAGTACATAAACCTCAAGGGGTACTTTTCAACAGTGCTGCAAGCACTGGTGGATCACAAGGGACATTTCACCAACATCAACGTGGGATGGCCAGGAAAGGTACATGACGCTCGCATCTTCAGGAACTCTGGTCTGTTTCAAAAGCTGCAGGAAGGGACTTTATTCCCAAACCAGAAAATAACCGTTGGGGATGTTGAAATGCCTATAGTTATCCTTGGGGACCCAGCCTACCCTTTAATGCCATGGCTCATGAAGCCATATACAGGCAGCCTGGACAGTAGTCAGGAGCTGTTCAACTACAGGCTGAGCAAGTGCAGAATAGTGGTAGAATGTGCATTTGGACATTTAAAAGCACGCTGGCGCAGTTTACTGACTCGGTTAGACCTCAGCGAAACCAATATTCCCATTGTTATTGCTGCTTGTTGTGTGCTCCACAATCTCTGTGAGAGTAAGGGGGAGACGTTTATGGCAGGGTGGGAGGTTGAGGCAAATCGCCTGGCAGCTGGTTACGCACAGCCAGATACCAGAGCGGTTAAAAGAGCACAGGAGGGCGCAATGCACATCAGAGAAGCTTTGAAAACCAGTTTCATGACTGGCCAGGCTATGGTGTGAAAGTTCTGTTTGTTTCTCCTTGATGATACCGCCCACCCCTTGGTTCACTCTACTTCCCTGTAAACTAACCACCCTCCCCTCCTCCCTTCGATCACCGCTTGCAGAGGCAATAAAGTCATTGTTGCTTCACATTCATGCATTCTTTATTAATTCATCACACAAATAGGGGGATAACTACCAACGTAGCCCAGGAGGGGAGGTGGAGGAGGGAAGGACAAGGCCACACAACACTTTAAAAGTTTAAAACTTTAAAACTTATTGAATGCCAGCCTTCTGTTGCTTGGGCAATCCTCTGAGGTGGAGTAGCTGGGTGGCCGGAGGCCCCCACACCACATTCTTGGGCGTCTGGGTGAGGAGGCTAAGGAACTTGGAGAGGAGGGCGGTTAGTTACACAGGGGTTGTAGCAGCGGTCTGTGCTCTAGCTGCCTTTTCTGCAGCTCAGCCATATGCTGGAGCATATTAGTTTGATCCTCCAGCAGCCTCAGCATTGAATCCTTTGAGCTCAGAGAACATTTCTTCACGAGTGCATTTTTTTCGCCTTCTAATCTTCGCTAGCCTCTGGGAAGGAGAAGATCCTGTGATCCTTGAAACACATGCAGCTGGTGGAGGAAAAAAAAGGGACAGTGGTATTTAAAAAGACACATTTTATAAAACAATGGGTACACCTTGCTGTTAACATTACATACATAGCACATGTGCTTTCGTGCTAAGGTTGCATTTTGCCTCCCCCCCCGACTGCGTGGCTAGCTCCTCATACCTTCCCCCTCCCCGTGGCTAACAGCGGGGAACATTTCTGTTCAGCCACAGGCAAACAGCCCAGCAGGAATGGGCACCTCTGAATGTCCCCTTAAGAAAAGCACCCTATTTCAACCACGTAACCATGAATGATATCACTTTCCTGAGGATGACACAGAGAGATAAAGAACGGATGTTGTTTGAACGCCAGCAAATATACACTGCAATGCTTTGTTCTACAATGACAGGTTTCAGAGTAACAGCCGTGTTAGTCTGTATTCGCAAAAAGAAAAGGAGTACTTGTGGCACCTTAGAGACTAACCAATTTATTTGAGCATGAGCTTTCGTGAGCTACAGCTCACTTCATCGGATGCATACTGTGGAAACGGCAGAAGACATTATATACACAGAGACCATGAAACAATACCTCCTCCCACCCCACTCTCCTGCTGGTAATAGCTTATCTAAAGTGATCATCAAGTTGGGCCATTTCCAGCACAAATCCAGGTTTTCTCACCCTCCGCCCCCCCCCCCTCCAAACTCACTCTCCTGCTGGTAATAGCCCATCCAAAGTGACCACTCCCTTTAAAATGTGTATGATAATCAAGGTGGGCCATTTCCAGCACAAATCCAGGTTTTCTCACCCCCCACCCCCATACACACACAAACTCGCTCTCCTGCTGGCAATAGCTCATCCAAAGTGACCACTCTCCTTACAATGTGCATGATAATCAAGGTGGGCCATTTCCAGCATAAATCCAAGTTTAACCAGAACGTCGGGGGGGGGGGGTAGAAAAAAACAAGGGGAAATAGGGGAATTTGTTCTACAATGATTCCCAAGTACGTGCTACTGGCCTGGAGTGGTAAAGTGTCCTATCATGGTGGACAGAAAAGGCTGCCCTCCCCAGAAACCTTTTGCAAAGGCTTTGGGAGCACATCCAGGGGAGGCGCAAATGCCAGGGCAAATTAATTATTAAACATGCTTGCTTTTAAACCATTTATAGTATTTTAAAAGGTACACTCACCAGAGGTCCCTTCTCCGCCTGGCGGGTCTGGGAGGCAGCCTTGGGTGGGTTCGGGGGGGTACTGGCTCCAGGTCCAGGGTGAGAAACAGTTCCTGGCTGTTGGGAAAACTGGTTTCTCCGCTTGCTTGCTGTGAGCTATCTTCCTCGTCCTCAAAACCTGCTTCTATGTTGCTTCCATCTCCATTGAAGGAGTCAAACAACACGGCTGGGGTAGTGGTGGCTGAACCCCCTAAAATGGCATGCAGCTCATCATAGAAGTGGCATGTTTGGGGCTCTGACCCGAAGCGGCCGTTTGCCTCTCTGGTTTTCTGGTAGGCTTGCTGCAGCTCCTTAAGTTTCACACGGCACTGCTTCGGGTCCCTGTTATGGCCTCTGTCCTTCATGCCCTGGGAGATTTTGAGAAATATTTTGGCATTTCGAAAACTGGAACGGAGTTCTGATCGGACGGATTCCTCTCCCCATACAGCGATCAAATCCCGTACCTCCCGTTCGGTCCATGCTGGAGCTCTTTTGCAATCCTGGGACTCCATCATGGTCACCTCTGCTGATGAGCTCTGCATGGTCACCTCTGCTGATGAGCTCTGCACTCACCTGCAGCTTGCCATGCTGGCCAAACAGGAAATTGAAATTCAAAAGTTCGCGGGCCTTTTCCTGTCTATGTGGCCAGTGTATCTGAGTTGAGAGTGCTGTCCAGAGCGGTCACAATGGAGCACTCTGGGATAGCTTCCGGAGGCCAATACTGTCTAATTGTGTCCTCAGTACCCCAAATTCGACCCGGCAAGGCTGATTTCAACGCTAACCCTTAGTTGGGGGTGGAGTAAGGAAATCAATTTTAAGAGCCCTTTAAGTCGGAAAAAAGGGCTTCGTCCTGTGGATGGGTGCAGGGTTAAATCGATTTAACGCTGCTAAATTTGACTTCAACTCCTAGTGTAGACCAAGGCTTAATTGTGCTGGTTCTGCAGTGCTAACCAGAGTAAAAAGCATTAAAAATGTATCACTAAAGTTAGAAGATCTTTGAAAAAGAAAGCAAGTTTGAATAAGAGTGTCATTTTTGCATAGCCACCTTTCAGAGCAGAATCATACTAAACATAGTAAAACCTCACTGTATATGCTGAGTCAGATCTGCTGACTTTTGTTGGCTTTAAGAATAAAAATCCGCAAAAATATTGTCACACAACTACAAAAAACCCTAAGCTCCTTTTTCTTGCACCATCAGACTTTTTTTCTAAAAGTTTCAACCAGTTACACATATACAACTTCAATGGAATGGCATAGGTGTCAGTGAGACCATAGATTTTAAAACAATGGTAATGCATGCATGTAATTTAGGACATAATTTGGCCTCTTATTAATGCTGATGCATGAGATAGAAAAAAATGCACTTTACCGCTCAAAACCCAGACTCTGTTTACATGGCTGGCATGTAGAAAAAACATCTTAAAGACAAAACATTTGATACATGAATAATTGAGAAGATAGACATGCAACCCCACATGCAATTTAAATAAGTCATTCTTTAGAGTACAGCTACACTTTAAGCAGAGGAATGTAAAAACTTGCCCTCACATTTTTTATACTTTCCAGTTTAGGGGTGGAGAATTTCACAAACAGATACAACTTGAAATATATACACAAATTCATTGGATACAAAAGTCCAAGTAAGCTGTTACTGCGGCACTATAATTCAATACTCAGTTGAGTTAAAGGGAAACTGTCAACTTGAAAGCTAGTCAATAAAAATTGCTTAAAGTATTTTCACGTACTAGACACGGTTTCGAGTCCCTCTACCAAAACTTCTTGTATTTTTATACTTTCCTAGTTTTCTAAAAATTCTTCTCTTCCCTGTAGTTGGGGTAAGCCCCTCAATAAACAGTGAAAATGACTATGCATATTTCACAACACTGTAAGCAAACTGAAAAAAATAAATGTTTTTTCTTTTTGTTTACCATTATAGGTTAACATATCATATTAACTTCAGTAGGTAAAATTTTACAGAGAAATTTATCTTAAGTTGAAAGTCCCTTTAAATATAAATGGAACAGGGAAAAGTGTTAGGAAAAATCATGTGTATCACTTTTTTTTCCTCTTGACCTCTAAAAGTTGACATTTGTTTACTATTAAAATAGTGACAATCCCTAGCATTCAAAAATCATGGTTCAGGCTCCCAAAATCAAGAGACTGGATAAAAAATAGTGAGATCTATTTATAACTATTTTGGGGCCTTTTTATTTGACTTCTGGTGTTTCAGTCTTTCGGGTCATGTTTTCCAGCAATTCTCTGAAAGCATGAAGGATAGAAACATCCTAAGTAAAAAAAAAAGTTACAATTCTTATCTTCACATAATTTCAACAGCTGGGGCTGTCAGAAAATACCAAATGTTGCAAGACATGTATTAAAATAATGGGTTGACAATACTGCTGTTGTCTTAGACCTTGGCCTATGTACCCTATTAGTAAATGTTACCTTCTAAAACCCCTGACCTGCAAGGACTTTGACACATGCTTAACTTCTAACATGTGCATAGTTTAGTTGAAATCAACAGAATTACTCATATGCTCAAACTCCTACATACCTCTTAGTAGGAGTGGGGCATTAAATTAGATTTTTCAGGTGTGCTGAGTTTTCACAGTTTAAGTTGGCCTTACTGATAATGTGAAAATCAGTCCCATAAGCATCTGAACCTGTGCTAATGGTTATGGCATGAAGAATGGCCAAGCGTGTTAGGAAGATGCAACCAATTTGGACTCTGGGAGTTTTCAGGTTTAATATTTCTCACAAGGGAAATGCATTTCAATCCCTGATAAATTTAAAATATTTTACTGTAGCTTTGCTCCTATAATTTAACACCAAATGTATAAATGAAGTATCTACCTTACCTCCAGGGAATCTGCTGTAAATTAATGTCAGATGTATGCAATGTGAGAAGGAGACAAAGCACAGATGAGTGGCAAGAAACAACATGCAGCAGTCAGGTTGAGTAATCTGGACAATATATTTAATGGGAAACCAACATATCCTCTTGTCTAAGGTGAATTTTACACCTTTAAAAGCTATTTGATTTATTTTGTTTATAAAATGAAATACATGAGACAACCAGATTCACTGCTGGAGTATGTGAGGGAGGCTCCACTGAAATCAAAAGGCAGTAAATTAAGTTGGTTGAGAGTATTTTGTTAAGCAAACAGTGTGTGCATTTCTGACTTATTTCTTGAGGGGAATTGTACAGCAGTAGTCGATTTGTAAGATACAAAAAGGAGGGATTCAAAGAAACAGTAACTATATCTTACATGTGTGCCGATTATTAGTTTACTTACGAGTGCTCTGTGGGTACACCATCACTGGGTGGAAGTAATTTATATTATTTGGGCTTATATAATATTATAAGACTAAAATATAGTCATTATATTACACTGGGCTTACATTCATTTATGGGGCTAGGCTATCTCTAATAACAAGATCCACTAGACTTGCAATAAATTCTAAAACCCACTTGTACTGAGAAGCCAGGTTAAACTGTGTTGTAATAAAATTCCTACATAAGTGTGATTATGGTCTGAAAAGTAAGTATGAAATAAAAATCATGTACATACTCAAAAGATCTGTGTGTTTAGACAAGTCTGCTTCATTCTGAGAAAAAAATAAGCTGTTACTGCTTTTCACTCCTGCTAGTCCTGCAGACTCATTTGAGACTTATTCCTTAGAGATTTGTTATGGAACAGTAAATTGGATTCTATTTTGACTCATGTGTCATCAATAAAATTGTTAACTAAGTAGCAATTACAAAATCTCTTACTGTTGACACACAAGCTAGAAAGAACAGCTTTTGACTTTCAGATACCAGGCTGCATGCCTCTTCCAGTATTTGGTCTATCATTTTATTTTACAGCTATAATATCTTGATCACAGCTTTTCACCTTGTATGTAATCGCCTCCAACAGTCACTTCATACTCTTCAGTGATTAGGGCCCTACCACATTCACAGTCCATTTTGTTCAATTTCATGGTCATAGGGTTTTAAAAATAGAAAATTTCATGATTTTAGCTATTTAAATCTGAAATGTCACGGTGTTGTAATTGTAGGGGTCCTGACTCAAAAACGAGTGGTGGTGGGGGTCGCAAGGTTATTGTAGGGAGAGTTGCGGTATTGCTAACCTTACTTCTGTGCTGCTGCTGGCATTGGCACTGCCTTCAGACCTCGGCAGCTGGAGAGTGGCAGCTGCTGGCTGGGATCCCACCTCTGAAGTCAGAGCTGCAGCCAGCAGCAGCACAGAGATAAGGATGGCATGGTGTGGTATTGCCTCCCTTACTTCTGCGCTGCTGCCTGCAGAGCTGGGCTCTCAGTAAGCAGCCGCCACTCTCCAGCTGCCCAGCTGTGAAGGCACCACAGAAGTAAGGGTAGCAATACTGGGACCCACCCACACACCTAAAATAACTTGCGACCACCCTGCAACTCCCATTTTGGTCCGAATCCCCAACTGGAGAAATGCTGGTCTCCCCTGTGAAATCTGTATAATATAGGATAAAAGTACACAAAAGACCAGATTTCACAGTCCGTGATGTGTTTTTCTTGGCTGTGAATTTGGTAGGGCCCTACCAATGATCTATCGAGAAGGCTTCAGTAAGAATGTACTCTCCTGTCTGCAGCCATCTGTTGTTTCTTGTCTTAGATATAAGCTCTTTGGGGGAAGGACTGTCTTTTTCTCTGTGTTTGTACAGCACGTAGCACAATATGGTCTTGGTCTATAACTAGGCCTCCTAGTCACTATGTTAATAAGAGATTTTCAACACACCCCTCCATGATAGTAAGTGTGACTGCTATGCTATACCAGATCATATTTTTATTAAGATAATCTCAGCCCTGAGGAATTTCCAATGTAAAAGGTGATATAGATAAAATGTGCTGGGAGACCCAGGGGAGAAAGCAATCTCTGTATTCTCCTATTCCCCCTTCCTTACTGCTTCCCTTGTTTTACTCGTGTAATGTTGTTTCAGAAGGCATTTGATGTGGTTTACTGTTTGTGGGTGGGTCTGACTGAAGAAGTGTTTAGAAGAGTTAAAATGAAGAGAAAAGGAGGCCTGACAGACTGGATTGTAAGTTTGTTTCATGCATAGGGGAAGAAGAAGGCAGAGACAAGAGTGGGAGGACACAAAAGGGGGAAAGGAATGGAGTTACATGAGGGATGAATTTAGCCAATAATAGTGAATGTGTGATGTCACAATAACTTTCTCATCAATAAATTATAGCATCAGAACTCCGAGCTAAAGCGTCACTGCAAGAAGAGAACTGCCAAAGTGAGGGGGACAGAGAACCCTCATCCAAAATCAAGTATTTTGATTAATAGCAAACAAACCCCAGGCAAATATATTTCTTTGTATGCACTCTCTATTCAAAATTGCTTCACTGTGAAAGTCTTTTTTTTAAAATGGTATACATCAGATCAGAACTTTATTGCAGGAAGCAGACACCAAGCCATAACTGAAACTGTTCCCACTAATCAAATTACAAGATTCCTACAGGATATGTTTCCCAGTGTGATCTTCTGTTTAAGCAGAATGCAGATTTCACCCTTTAAATGCTTAAACAGAACAAAGCAGTTCAGTATAGCTTCCTCCCACAGGCAGTTCTTAGGGTCACAGCTAGGCCCCTCACATATATGTAGTGGTAGAATTGCATATGGATGTTTTTGTTCCAAATGTATTTTTTAGCTGTTTGTACATTAGTTTTTTTTTTTAACTTAAAATGTTTCGACTGGCAGTAGCAAAAATGAGAGTGCTAGTGTAGATGAGCCACCACTGTGTTATCTAGTGCTGTTCAGCACAGGTCTAGATGATGTGATAGTTCAAAACACCAGCAGCGGCTGGCAATTGGTCTACATTCAAATTCTCGCCAGTGGAGATGAAACAATAGTATATACAGTAGGAAATTTCAAGAAAAAATGTTTAGTGTAGACAAGGCCTTAATTGGACATGTGTTCACTTTGAAAATCTCTAATTAAAAAAAAAAGGGGAGGGGGAGAGAGAGAAATTGATATGCTGTTTGACCTGTGAGTTTATTGTCTGTCTGTCTTGAGTTTTTTACTAAATGAGATGACAAAAGAAACTTAGAATATGACACACACTCTCAAAAAATCCTTCCAGTGTCTGGAATTCTTTCTGTGAAAAAGTCAACATATTTTAGAAAGTGTTCAGAATTTTGCTGAACCCCATTTCTCCCAGGGGGTCATACAGCTTCTTGTACCTATTTCTCTAGAGAGACACCTTTCAAATTACCACAAGAATGACAGGCAACATTAAACACCGCATACAATTAAGCATGAGCATCCAGCAGTTTTTAATGGGGAAAAATTGATAATTCAGTAATATTGGAAGCTACTTAAGTGGCAATTTGAAAGGCTTTACAGACTGACCATTCTCTGTACAGTTATTTCAGTCCTTTCAAAACAGAGAGTCAAACATGATCTTTTCATTTGCATGCTTCTAATTAAATGTTTGTTAGAAAGGTGGCTATTGAGCCACCTATCAGTGAGATTGTATTATGAATTGGTATTGTTGCATGTCATACCGCTGCAGAATGTTTGCATACGATACAGTGTATTGCTTCTCAGAAAAGTAAACAAATGCCCCTTTTAAACCACAAAAATTCATGTCTGCTCTCAAGTGGGGAGTCTCTTGACTGCATCATTAAAGAAAAATGTGCTGCCTATGATATGAAGAGAACAACATTACGCAAATCCCAATACTTCATCATAAAAAAATGTACAAACACAAATGAAAACTTTTTTCCTACATCTAGCAGTATGTCGCCAGAGAAGCCATCCCACACAAAGCTAGAACATTTCAGAAGATTCCACATAGCCAGCCCAAACAGAGCTAGGAAGAACTCATATTAAAAAGGATATTATAGAAGTTAGAAGGTTGCTGTCACCAGCTAAACCAAACCAAAATGCTCCTAATATTTTTTTATGAAGACTCCCACTAAACAATCATAAATTCCACAAAATCAGTAGGTGAATTTTTTTATAGGAATCAACTCCAAACAAGAGATTACTTATCATTTGCAAGATCAGTCACTTTCTCTCTTGTTTTTACTTTGTGTTTGAGAGTGCCTTTTTGACCGTGCATCAACATTTCTGCTTCACCCTGCAGTGAGATCACCATCTATTACCACAAAAATTAACATATTACAAGTAAAGCATGATGATTGCACTACATGATCAAGTGAGGAATGAGGGTGGGACAGGATCAGGCCATTTTTTCATTAAACCTGAATATCTTTAATTATCAAAGAAAAAGTATGAAACACTAGCAAAACTTCTAAGGAGGTTACTCTTTAAGTATGTGTGAAAGTTGTCTCCTCTATAACAAAGTCTCACTTTCTGAATTAGGATCGTAACAGCTGAGGGCAGATTTAAGGGTTGGCAAATATTGACTTTGTCACTGCCAAAGTTCTTTCACTCTGTCCCCTTCCTCATTCTACTCTTGGTTTTGTTTGTTTTTTCCCCCAGTGGTACAGGATTATGTTTCTACTGAGGGCTTTGGAGGTATTTGTAACTGAGGCCTTATCATTAGGACAGCCACTTAATTTACTTACTCATTCCTCACGTTTTCACCCATGCCTTTTTTCCACGCTGGCCCTTACACAAGGCATGCCCCCACTGAACTGATCCATTAGATTCCACTATCCTTTCTCCAGATCTCTCCTCACATCTGTCTGATGCCTATGAGAAATTGGCCAGTTATTGATAAGCTGAAGTGCAGATGAGGACAGTAGATACTTTACCTATTTACAGGAACGAAAACAGCTTGTAAGTGTGTATGGACCTCCTCCAAAGCCCATTAAAATGGACAGAAAGATTCCCATTAACTTCAATGGGTATTGGATCAGGCCCTATGCATATATAAAAACGGTATATATTTGATTCTGTTCCTTTTCCTCCCACCACCTAGATGTCATATTAGATAAGTAAACTCTTTGGCACATATCTTTGTATATATGTTTGTATAGTACCTAGCACAATGGAGCTCCACTCCACTCTTGTCTGGGGCCTCTGCAAACTGTTATATGATGTAAATACAAATGAGGGACCTTTACCCATACATCAGCACTGTGACCCAAGAACCTCTGAATGCCAACTGGCAGAGGGCAATGAGGGTGTCTAACTGTACAGGAATCCCCTGGGTTCACCAAAATAATGTCATGTATGGTCTCTGCTGCAAGCCTGTGTCACATAACCATTGTGAGAAGTATTATGGAGAACATGTGAGGACTTATGTTTATATACTGCAAATTATGTTCTCTAGGTGTGTAGGTCAAAACAGTAGAGTGGCTTGAGCCAAACTCCTCCAGATAAAGGCTAGGGGACCAATATGTACTGTATAACATACAACAAGAGGCTATTAGCATGCTAAGTCAAATGCTAATGAAGAGCTAAAGAAACTAATAGAATGACATAAACAGCAGGCGGGGCAGGGAGGGAGACCCTATCTTGAGGTGAACATCAAAGATCTGTTCTGATATATTTGGGGGTGCAAAAAGAGGCACTAGCATCCTTCACCTAGGAAGGTAAACTGACAGTGGGCTTGCTTTACAAGAAAGGGATCTCAACCAGGCTTGGCTGAAAATGCTGGCATGAACTTTGGGTGAGACAAGCTTCTATAAACAGGAGGACAACTTGTTAGTTAAGCTTAGGTTTTAGAAGACCTGTTATGATGATGATTTATATGTAACAATTTGTTCCCATCTCTCATGCTTTTAAAAAAAATTATTTTTGTTTTATAGTTAAACTCAAGTGCTGTGCCTAATACAGGAGCAGGAGTGTAAACGGTTATACACTGTTCCTTAGAGAATAGAGGATTTGGGATTTTTGTGGGTATCAAGTGATCAGGAGCTATATACTACAGGGAGCTACGTTGAAGGGACTCAGGGCTGGGGTGTACCTTTTGTCCACCCGCAAGGCAAAAGGAGGGCCTGGTCCATAGGAGAGTGCTTGACAGTCTGGTTGTGGTAGGGAGCTAACACTCAGCTAAGACAATCAAGATTCCCTCATGCTGGAGGCAGGTAGTAACAAGGTGACTCTCAGCCCTGGGTGCCCCAAGAAATGTCACAAACATCCCCCAAACTGTCAGTGCTCTTGTGAAGGGGTGCTATTTAGAAGAAAAAGAATTCAAGGTTTGGGCAGTGAAATAAAGGGAAGTTGGAAGTGAGAACACCAAGGCTGAATCAATTTTGCAGGGCGAGGTGAGAGGATAAAGCCTTGATTGAGGCTGGGGGTACGTTGTTCCCTGGGGGGGAAAGATTATGACAATCCAGATCACTTTGTTCAACCTCGCAGGGCAGAAAAAACTTACGAACCTCCCTCTGCCTGCCACAGTTTTGACTCACCTCGTCGAGTGCGGATACTAATGACTAACTGGGGGGGCTGGCGCCGCCTGTCCCCGCATCTCCCGGGTCAGCGGGAGTGTAACAGAGCCCTCCCGGGCTGGCGGATCCTGCTGCCCCTTTCAAGGAGCAGCTGGCCGAGTGGCGGTGACGAGGACGTTTTGACAGGCGGCTGCCAAGAGCGTCACTCTCCTTCGGTACCCTGGGACAGGGGCGGAGGGAAAACACACAAAGGTGGCCCCAAGCTGGGTGTGCCTCCTCCTAAAAACGCCGGTCTCCGCCCAGCACCCAGTTCTTCCAGCGCGGGCCGGTCACGTGGAAAGGGAGAGAAAACCCCTTAGCCCCACACCACTGCATTTAACGACAAGTGACTGACTTTTGTCAAAGAGGCCACAGCGATTCACCCTGCCAATCGTCTCCTCCACGGCTGAGCAATCACCTCAGCCGGCTCCTAGTGCACTCAGCAGGAGCAGAGTCCGAGTCAGAAGCTGCACCCTGCTCCGCAGGGGCAAGCAGGCTCGGCCCAGGCTCCCTCCCGAGAAGCCGAGCCTAGGGCGCAGCTCCGCCTAGGAAAGCCTGCCCCTCGCCCGGCTGCTTGTGCGCATGCGTCCGCGCCCTGTAGCCGGGAGTGGCGCCGCCCCGCCCCTGTGGACAGTCGTGAGTGGAGCTCGGCGCGCATGTGCGCGCGCGCGGTGGGACGTACAGAGCCTCTTCAGCCGCTACCGCCGCGGCGCTGCGGTTTTGCCGCCGGCGCAGCCCCGTAGCCGCCACCGCGCGCTCCCCCCGCCCATGGAACCCTGAGACCGATTTGAAAATAACCGCTGTTCTTGTGGCCTGGCGATGTGGCTGTAGCTACCGGCGCGGGGGCCTGGGCATCGCCGCTCTCTCTCTTGTCTCCTGCTCGGAAAGAGCAGCTCCTTGCCAGGGGCCCGGGGTGCCCCGCCCGGCAGCACCGCGCTCACCCAGGGCGGCTCCTCGCTGTAGGTTCCGGACCTCCCGCTTCCCCTGGGCTCCTGTGGGCAATAGCCTGGAGCCGGGACCAGCGGGGTGCTCGGCTCGCGGGGTGGGTGTCAGGCGTCTCCCGGCGCTGGAGACCTGCAGTGGATTGTCCTCGGTAAGGGACCCGCAGCTCGTGACCCTGCAGCTCACGAGGAGAAATGGGGGAGGGGGGGAAGAGAGGGACCCCGCTCCTGTGGGGGAGGCGAAGGGTTGGGAGGGACCCCGATCCTGCGGCGGAAGCGGGGTGGTAATTGAAAACCTGAGAGGAAAAAGAAGGCAAATATTCAAATACCCCCACTGCAGCCTGCAATAAATTTGAATATTTATGTATTGTAGATGTATATGGTATGTGGATTTATATATGGGGTGTTGGTATGTATGTATACTGCATATATCTCATGTATATTTATTGTGTGGGATTCCCCACGTGCTATTCAGTTGCCCCATGCCCACTGATGGTTTCACAGGTGCGGTGAGAAGGAGGCAATGCCCTGTCCAAGAGATACTGTCCTCAGTGTTGACGTGCTGGGATTAAATTACTACCACTGTTGAAATTTATTTCTTTCTCTAATAAACTGAGTACGGAATCCTTCTATGCAGCACCTCTGAGATGAGTATTTCAATGCACTTTACCAACACACCCTGCAGGGTTCATGGTTTTCCAAAGTGCTGACTTTGCCCCCCTAGGGTGGGCAAAAAGGGCTATTGCAGGGGTTCAGACAGGCTTCTCTGTTGTTCTTTGGGGTCTCTGCTTTCATTTGAAAAGGAGTGCTGTTTAGCTGTTATGGAAAACCTTAAAAATGTGACCACAGTGTAATTGACGCAGTAGTGTCTGCCTGTATTTGCAGAGAGCCTGGAATGAAAGGTCTGATGTATGGGTACCCCATTCATTTAAATGACGGTAGTTAGCATTGTTGACATTTCCAGTATTTCACTGATTCTCAAAGTTTGAGAGGAGAAGTATAGATCTTTTGATATCTTCAATCTAATCTGATTGAGCAATTATTTTGGGTACACCTTTAACAACACATGGTTGGGTTGAAGAGATGAATATGATTGACTTCATTTTCCTAAGGGAGCAGGGCTTAGTTTCCAGCATTTTGGGAGACTGTCTTAAATCTCTAACTCTCCTGTGAGGAGGTAAGTTAAATCACTTCCTAGCTGCTATTTTTATTTTTTACTGTCTGCTGTGCCTGTAAATACATAAAAAATTAAAATGCCTTTTGAGCTAACAGTTGAAGAGTAGCAGCTGTGTTAGTCTGTATCCTCAAAAAGAAAAGGAGTATTTGTGGCACCTTAGAGACTAACAAATTTATTTGAGCGTAAGCTTTTGTGAGCTACAGCTCACTTCATCGGATGCATCGGTAACAGTATTGTCTCCCTAATGCGTCACTGGCTAGTTGCATGATGTCAGAACTGATTTAAGGTGCTATAGAAATACAAGGTATCACTTGGGGATCGTATAATTCTCTTTCAGAAAGAGAGTGCAGAATTAACAGGAATTGAGAGAAGCTCACTGACAGTGCAAGGTCTGACAATGTTCTTGAGCTGGATCTGGGAGTAGTTAAGTATGAGGACTGAGGAAAGTTCTGTGAAAGGGGCATCAGGCAAAATAGTGGTGGTGTCCATTCTAGAGCAATCCGTGGAATTGCTTCAAAGGAAAGAATTCATTTTCATCATGATTCTCTCTTTAGCCAATATATAGAAGATGACATAGTGTTTTAACGTGAATTTTGGAAAGTGTGATTCAGATAGGAAGCGAAGTCACTGAGTTTTGGGTATGACAAAGGTCTTAAAAATAAACAGCAAAAGCATAACTCACAATTAATGTACAACTTGTTGTCTGAACATTACTAGATACAGCCTCTTGAGAAACTTGTAATTTGATAGGACACATTGCTGAACAGGTATTTATTATAAGTTGAGCTTATGGAGGAGGAGAGAAACAAAAAGGAGGTTTGATATAGTGGTTGATACTTGTAGTAAATGTTTGTGATATGGTGCAATGCGTTCGTAATCGTGTGTCACAATTCAAGCTCTGGTTTCTGTTGCCAAGAGCAGGAAATTTTGAGGGGAAGTAATCTAGTTGATTAATTTGAAGAGTTGTGTTTTTAGTGGTTACAAAATTACATTTAATGACTCCGAAAGAAAGGAATTCATCCCTCCGTTGTACAGTATTTACTGCAACGTAGAAAATCTCTTGAAACTAGATAACAGATTTGTGTAAATGTATGTAATGGATAGTTAGTCTCTTTATAAGTTCTTTAAAAATATAGATAATCATGTGCATTCAATATGATGAAAATATTTCATAGTAGTGGTGCCTAAGTAATAGAGTAATAGGCATATTTGAAATAACTTTAGTTTTCGCTCTTGTGTATTAGGCATATATAGTATAATTAATGAAATAGTAGGGAAGTGTGAGGGTGTGCTATACATGCCAAACCCAAGATCTAACGTTCTCTGTATTAAAAGAATGCTGACAAATTAAAGTTATACTATTTTAAAAATATTTGTTAATTTAAGTGTCATTTTACAGCATTAACTACTTTATGCGCTTGTTAAGTACTTCAGTTACCAAATGTTGAGGCTCTTAGTGTTTGTTTCCAGTACATACTATGTTTCAGAATGTGACCTGTTTACCATGGTTTTTGTTTGTGGGGTTTTGGTTTTTGCTTTTTGAATTAATTAGAAAATAGAACATTGGTCTGTAATAGCAATATGTATCTTCAGTGAATTAATCTGTCCCTTATGAAATTTGGTGAGAAGATAATTATTTTTAAAATGTGGGTCTGAAAAGATGGTGGTGATGTTATAATGTTGTTCACTTAGTTGTGAAATAAAAATCTGATCTCATATTAAATCTCACTTTGCGATAATAATGTAATTCTATAGAATAATTTTATTTTTGGTTTGGTTTTATGCATTTCTTTCAGTTTTCCTGGTGCCTATCCCAAGTTGTAGAGCATGTCCATAATTTAATACAGAAACCTTTTGCCTTGGACTAAGTCTAGCATTTAGAGTTGCATTTAGAGTTCCAGAGCATTTTTAGGACTTGGCAATTCTGTTCTTCTGTATCTCCAGCATGTTTACCTACTTTGGGTAGTGATTTTTGAAAGCCTAGCTATTTTCTTCCCCTGCATCTCCCCTCAAACTTGATGATCACTTTAGATAAGCAATTACCAGCAGGAGAGTGGGGTGGGAGGAGGTATTGTTTCGTGGTCTCTGTGTATATAATGTCTTCTGCAGTTTCCACAGTATGCATCCGATGAAGTGAGCTGTAGCTCACAAAAGCTCATGCTCAAATAAATTGGTTAGTCTCTAAGGTGCCACAAGTACTCCTTTTCTTTTTCCTCAAACTACAGATACCTTAGATAGTGCCATGGTATGTTTTGTCTTGAGTGGCACGAACAGTTTAAGAGCTCCAGGAATAAATCTAAGAGCCTGAAGTAAAATATAAACTCTGATCTGCTGCTATGTTAGCACCTTAAAGAGTATCAGTGCCCATAAAGTGTAACTCAGCAAGCCTCTCTCAGAGTATTTGTGCTTTGTAATCACATCATCTTCTGTAAAGGATTCCACTGTGTGAAGTGAGCCTCTGCACCTTGCCTGGCATGATAGTGGCCGCCCAGGTACCAGTACTTTTAAGACATCAATTACCATACACCTCTCAGCCCAAGAATACGTCACTGCTGCTGTAGCTATGCCAGCATATTCATTCCCTTGTGGAGCTGTAAGATAACTGGCACATCAGGTTTGCTAGTGCAGTTGGTGCTGTCAGCTGAGGGTGTCAGAGTACTAGCTAGTCAGTAACTACAATTTAGAATTCAGCAGACAGCACCAATAGGAGCTGGAGTTTCATGTGTGGGCTATGAATATTTTTAAGCCAGTTTTCCAGGTTGATTTTTGTTTGTTTTTGTTTAATGGTAGATTCAACCTTATTCAGCCAAAAGCTCCCTGTCTTAAACACCTTTGTAGTCTCAACACCTACTGACCAATATTGTTAAGGCATTGTAACTCTCATACCCTTATTTAGACACAAGGCACTGGGCAAGCTTTAATTGGTGTACATCAGGTTTTACTAAGGCAACAAATCTTCCGCCTTGGGCATGTTGCATCTTATCATTTATTGTGTTATCCAGCACGTACCAAGTATCCATGGGTTCATGATCATCTGTCCAAAGGCCAGCCTTGTTTCTCAGAGACGTGTATAGCACAAGAAAGCGCTGGTACATAGAACTGAGCACAGAGTCTTGTGGTAGGGAACATGATTTAGGACAAGTGGTCTCAAGACCAGTGGGAGTGATGTATTAGAACTTCTTCCAGTGGGACACATTGAAAGTGAATTTCTTAGCCGTTGACTTGAACAAGAGGCTGAGCGGTCTTCCGCACTTTGTAATAAGAAAAGAAAGTATTAACAGGAGATGTTGTCTTCATCCTTTGTGGAAAGAAGCTCTGGTGGGCTTTTTACAGATACCTTTGGTAGCTAAGTCCTGGCAAAGCTCAGGCATGTCAAATGATCCTCATAGCCCAATGCTAGCCCATAAAAATATAAATCTGTTTTGTGTGTTTTGTGTTTATAGCTACTCATGCTTATATCATCATGCTGAGAATCTGGCTTTGGATCATCCCCAAAGTGTACCTCATTCCATCCCAGTGCAGGAGCCCTCTCAGTAGCAGTTTGATTATTGACAGGGTTGAAATGATTAGGTATGGCATATCCAGGTGGCTTGAGTCCTGGCTGCATGAAAGCTATCTAGCAGAAGGACATGTGGCTTCAAGTAGCAGGAAAAGTTGCAGTGTGGTGCAAACAGCTCTCAGGGACCTCTTTCTGTACCCCATTCTGAATCCATCGCTTCTTTTTGTCTTTTGCAAGGCATAGTAGCCACCATTGCCATTTGGAACATGAACTGCTAGCACTGAGCACAAGACCAGTGTGCATGGACGCCAGCTTCTACCTCTCACAATTTCTCTAACAGCAGATACTGTACTATTTTCATTATTTCCATGTATTATTTGGAATTGTGATCCCCTCCCCCTCCCCCCAGGGCTCTAACCATGTGACAAATCACAATTCCAAATTCCAACCATGTTCCATTAAAATCAAGGAAACTA